GCAAGAGCGCGGGTCAATGTCTGCCAGGCTTTCTGCTGGCCGCACGGTCGTCGGATGATCTCAAGATTGATTCAAGATTGCCTCAGGACGGCCCAGGCTGGTCCCAGCTAGCCCAATGGACTCCAACGACGCTCAAGACTGCTGACAAAACCCTTCTGTGAGGCTCCCGGCATGGCCGCAATCATCGAACAGGCACGTGCTTCTGCACGACTGCTCGCACGCTTGCCTCAGCGGCATTCCACCGCCTTCTCTGGCCTCACGGCGTGCCCGAGAGGACCCCAGGAGAGCCTCAGGAGGGCCCGAAGCTCCTCGGGAGAGCCCCGGGAGGGCCCTAGGACGGCCCCGGGCCCACGAGCGAATCAAGATGGTGCCGAAGTGACGAAGATGGTCCGAGACAGTCACGTGAGCTGCAGACATTGCCCTTGATGGCCGAGCATGCCTCCCTCAGAGGTCCCAAAGATCGAGTAGGAGATGGACTACAGAATCGTCGAATCTGCGAATACGCTCGACCCACGAACCCGAAAAGGGAATCAGGACTGCGAGGCACCGAAACGCTGTAAAGCACCTCAATTGGGCGATGGGCAGCGAGAATGCTGAAGATATCGATGGTGATGATAATGCTGTGCCATGGGCAGTTTTGTGCTGCGCTGAACTGTGCCGCGCCGCGCTCTGGCGCGCAAAGGGACGCGCCAGGGGGCATGACAGGGGGACGCGCCGTGGAACGTCCCAAGGGAAGCGCCAGTGGGCGTGCCAGGGGACGTGCCAGGGGACGCACCGAGGGACGTGCCAGGGGGACGCGCCACGGAACATGCCAACGGATGTGCCAGGGGACGTGCCAGGAGACGCGTCGCGCGACATGCCAGAACGACACGCCTCGGGACCAGCCATGGAACGCGCCAGCGAACGTGCCAGGCGACGCGCCAGGGAAGGGATATAGAAATGTGAGGCATGGAAATTGTTGAAGACATCAAGTCTGAGCGGCTGGCACTTGCAATGATCAAGGTAGATGGTGATGTACAGTGCACAGGGGGTACAGTGCCAGAGGCTGTGCTGTGCGGTGCTGTGATGAACTGAGACGCGCCACGCCGCGTTGAAGTGTTGTGCGCCATTGCATTGTAGATCAGGTCGTCCGTGGCGTCAGAATCCCGATCAAACTGATCTGGATCTCGAGCTCGAGCTGCCTGAATGCATAACTCAGATCTGGCCGAAATCGAAACGCGAGGGGCGCTCGACCGGCTCGAGCTCGAGATCCGATTCCGCTCGGAAGCTGGACGAACCGAAAGGGTCGAATCTGAACGGTTCTGTGCTCCGCTGCGTCGTGGATCAAATCTCCCCCGGCATCCGAATCCCGACAGAACTGACCTGAGCCTCGAGCTCGAGCTGCCTGGGCGCGTCGCTCGCCCAGAGCTGCTTGCAATCGAGAACGTACGAAAAAAAATGTCCCGCACCAGGGCGAACCGAAACCGAGGCGAAATGCATCGAGAAGGGGCGGGCCGAAACGCCGACGACGACTTCGACGGCGGACGGCGACGAACGCGACCGCGGTTCCAGCTCGGGACCACGTGCTAGATATCTACCGGGGTGGCCTGGACTCGTGAAAACACTTGGTTCCAGCTCGGGGCCACCATGTGAGATACCCCAGGGGGAACATCTGGGAACTCACCAGCCGAAGAAACGGTACCAGGTTATGTACACACCCGATGTCGATGTAGATGTTGTCGGGCTCTTGCGGGTCCCCACGCTGGGGGCGCCCAGGCGACCGCATGATAGATACCCCCCTTGGTTGGCCCGCAACCGTAAAAACACTTGGCTCCAGCTCGGGGCCACCACGTCAGATACCCCTCTGGGTGGCCTGGACATGTAAAAACATGTGGTTCCAGCTCGGGGCCACCATGTCAGATACCTCTCTGGGTGGCCTGGACACGTGAAAACGCATGGCTCCAGCTCGGGACCACCACTTTAGATACCTCCTGGGTGGCCTGGACACGTGAAAACGCATGGCTCCAGCTCGGGACCACCACTTTAGATACCCCCTGGGTGGCCTGGACAAGTGAAAACACGTGGTTCCAGCCCGGGGCCACCATGTTAGATACCTCCTGGGTGGCCTGGACACATGAAACCACGTGGTTCCAGCGAGGGGCAAGAGGCAACCACCTTAGATACCTCTCTGGGTGGCCTGGACACGTGAAAGCACGTGGTTCCAGCTCGGGACCACCATGTTAGATACCCCTCTGGGTGGCCTGGACACGTGAAAGTACTTGACTTCAGCTCGGGGCCACCATGTTAGGGATCCCCGTGGGTGACCTGGACACGTGAAAACACATGGCTCCAGCCCGGGACCACCATGTTAGATACCCCTCTGGGTGGCCTGGACATGTGAAAACACGTGGTTCCAGCTCGGGACCACCATATTATATACCTCTCTGTGTAGCCTGGACACGTGAAAACACTTGGTTCCAGCTCGGGGCCACCATATTAGATACCCCAGGGGGGGAATCGGTCTGGAAACTCACCAGCCGAAGAAACCGTGTAAAGCTATTTACACATCTGGTGTCGATGTAGACTTTGTCTGCCTCTTGTGGGCCCCGCCCGCTGGAGGCTCTCAGACGCCCACATGATCGATACCCCCCTCTGGGTGGCCCGCAAACGTTACAACATATGGTTCGAGCTCGGGACCACCATGTTAGATACCCCTCTGGGTGGCCTGGACACGTGAAAACGCATGGCTCCAGCTCGGGACCACCATGTTAGGGATCCCCATGGGTGACCTGGACACGTGAAAACACATGGCTCCAGCTCGGGACCACCATGTTAGATACCCCTCTGGGTGGCCTGGACATGTGAAGTACTTGACTTCAGCTCGGGACCACCATGTTAGATACCCCTCTGGGTGGCCTGGACACGTGAAAGTACTTGACTTCAGCTCGGGGCCACCATGTTAGGGATCCCCGTGGGTGACCTGGACACGTGAAAACACATGGCTCCAGCTCGGGACCACCATGTTAGATACCCCTTCTGGGTGGCCTGGACACGTGAAAACACGTGGTTCCAGCTCGGGACCGCCATATTATATACCTCTCTGGGTAGCCTGGACTCGTGAAAGCACTTGGTTCCAGCTCGGGGCCACCACATCATATACCCCAGGGGGGAAATCGGTCTGGAAACTCACCAGCCGAAGAAACTGCGTCAAGCTATCTACACATCTGGTGTCGATGCCGATGTTGTCGGGCTCCTATGGGGCCCCACGCTGGGGGCTCCCAGACGACCACATGATATACCACCCCCTCTGGGTGGCCCGCAAACGTTAAAACATATGGTTCCAGCTCGGGACCACCATGTTAGATACCACTCTGGGTGGACTGGACACGTGAAAACACGTGGTTCCAGCTCGGGACCACCATCTTAGATACCCCCCTGGGTAACCTGGACACATGGAAACACGTGGTTCCATCTGGGGACAACCATGTAAGACACCCCCCTGGGCACGTGAAAACAAGCATTTCGCCTGAGACATCCTCTGAATTCTGGCCCCCAGGAGAAGAGCAATCTACAGGACAAAACAGTTTCGCTCGAGACATCCTCTACATACTCTGCAAAACAAGCGTTTCTCTCGAGAGATCCGTAACAAACGAAGATGTGGACTTGACCCTGTGTCTCATCGATCGGAATGTTAAAAAGCAGCGTTTCACTTGGGGCATCCTCAGCTGTTTAATCGCCGGCCCTACGCGACCTCGTCATTCATCACAAGAAGTAAATTCTTCGGCCCTGCGCAGGCTGAGACCCGACACAGAGTACCATCTAAAAGAGCACCCTGGGCCGGCTGCCAGCGCCCCTCCCAGGGAAAGTGCATAAAAGGTTTGCCATGGAAGTGTGATGGATTTTCGGAGCAACGTCCAGGGCCATGGTTGCACCTCTAGGTCCTTCTGCTCCTACTCATCCTCTGCCCCCTCCCTCTACCTTCGCCTGCCAGATGATAGCTTTGCTGCCCGCTGGAAAGAGCTAGCAACTACGCTGAGAGGAGGAGGGAGAACGACCAGCAGCAGCAGGTACGACATCCTCCTGGTCATCCTCATCCAGATTTAAGCCTGAGGGAGGAAAACTTCGCTGCCTGCTTGAGTAAGCCGGCGTCCATTCTGCCCAATGCAGGTCGGACCGAGCAGGGAGCGCTGCAGGATGAGAAGTAAAGACGCATCCGAATAGAGAGCTAACACGGCGCGCGCAAATATATCATCGTCATCATCACCACCGCCATCATCATCATCATCATCATCATCATCATCATCATCAGCAGCAGCATCATCATCATCATCATCATCATCAGCAGCAGCAGCAACATCATCATCATCATCATTAGCAGCAGCATCATCATAATCGTCATCATCATCAGCATAATCATGATCATCAGCATCATCAGCAGCAAATAATGGAAATAACCATGAAAAATAAGAATGCGAATAACTATTAATATATATAATTAGTAATAATAACAATAAGAATCATCATCATCATCATCATCATCATCATCATCATCATCATCATCATCATCATCATCATCAGCAGCATCACCATTATTACCACCACCACCGCCATCACCATCATCATCATCAGCAGCAGCAGCATCGTCATCATTAGCAACCTCCTCCTCGTCATCATCATCACCATCATCATCGTCATCATCACAATCATAATCATCATCACCATCACCATCACCATCGTCGTCATCATCATAATCAGAATCATCATCATCACCACCACCACCACCATCACCGTCACCATCATCATCATCATCATCATCATCATCATCATCATCATCATCATCATCATCATCATCATCATAATCACCATCATCATCATCAGCATCATCATTACCACCACCACCACCACCATCATCATCATCAGCATCATCATTATCACAAACACGGTCCCCATCACCGCCACCAGCATCATCATAGTCCTACGCCTCCGCCGCCGCCGTCATCCCCATCGCCCGCATCCAGGGCCTCGCAGTCCCAGGCAGCGGGGCAGGGCGGCGACATGTGGTAGATGCCAAGCGCGCGCTGCGAGATCACCTGCATGCTGACGCAACACCTGGCGATGAAGCAGCGAAGAAACTGCTTACGTCAGGTTCGTGTCGTGCCGACTTCGGCGTTGGTTTCTGACACCACGGGGATCGTTCAACCTTGAACTATCGGCCGTTTCCGAAACGTCCAAATCGTTCCACATCGAACGATTCTGGGTTGCCCGCGGCGTTCCACATTGAACACCGGCGGGGGGTTCGCCGCCGGTCGACGCGACACGAACCTACCGTAGGGAGGGTGGGGGGGGATGCGAATGTTTCGGAAAGGTCCAGGGAGGGCAGCGAGCGGGATACAGTGTCCAAGTCAGCGAGTCCCAGCGAAAGCCCCAGCGAACAGCGTCCACGACAGCTTTTCAGGCCGCCAGCGGGAACCATCCAGACGGTCTGAACGGTACCAGGCGTGGTCCGCAGCACAATCTCTGGAGCTCCAAATTGACGCACGCCCACGCGGGTGGAGCTCAGAAGAAATAAACCAGCCCAAAACATTCCTTCGGGAACTCTGGAATGTCACACGCCCGCGAGCTTCGCATCCGGAAGGTTCTAAACCGCCCCAGAGCATAATTTCAGCAGCTCTTGTGTGATGTCGTACTCCCAAGGTGATAACACAACTACGCAGTTTGGGGCAGTCCGATGTGCCAAGGTCCTGTGATAGATGCACTCTGAAGATGCCGAAACGCTGCATAGCACAACTTCCCTGCCCCGACTTCTCACTCTGCAAAAATAGTTGCACTCAAGTTTCTCGTTTTTGCAACGAGCTCGACCTTCGGGTGACGATATGCGGGCAAGATGCACGAAGCAAACCCTGAGTCACGCGAGGGGCGACCTGCAATAATCGAGCCACCGCGCGAAACCTTGGCTTGTGCAGAAAATTGTGGCAAGATGCGGTTGCTGTCTCGTAGCGCACGGCCCTTGACAGTCCGTCATCGCACAGGTTTAGGACCTCGCTGGCCTCAGTCGCCCGAGACCTCCTCGGAGAACGTCCCCAGTCTCAAACTGTGGGATCACCCCGAATCCTCGCTGACTCACCACACGGTGTGGTCACCGCACCGTTTTGGAGCGCCCGATCGTAGCCGAAGTGCGACCTGGAAACGCGGATAGACCGTTACACCCAACGAAGTACTGCAAATCTGATGCCAGGAACCCTGGAGCCGTTGACAAACGCAGTAATAGAGCGTCCTGGAACAACTTCTGCCAGCGTTACCTACAAGTGGACGTGGCATGATGCACCAGGGTAGCTTGACCACGATGGAAACCACTGCCTCCGCAAGTTCACATGAAAATCCAGGACTGGCAAACAAAATTCCCTATTATGGGACAGCGTTCCCCACTTGCGCTCACGGCCTATTCGGCACTACGCGCAGCTCAAGCAATTACGCGCGCCCAGTACCTCAAACCTTACCTACGCAAAGCACCCTGATAGCAGCAAAGGTGGCATGAGAGACCTGCGGGACACGCGGGACATATGTGACCATCGAGACCTGCGAGACCTGTTGGAGCTGTGAGACCTGCGGACCTGTGGGACATGCGGGACCCGTGGGACCTGTGGGACATGCGGGACCTGCGGGACCTACGAGACCCGCGAGCCCACCAGGGCCTGTGGGACAAGTGGAACTTGCGGGACCTGCGAGACAAGCGAGCCCTGTTGGAGCTGTGGGACCTGGGGAACCTCGATTTCTGGAACCTGCGAGACCAACGAGACCTGCGAGACCAGTGGTATGTGTTGTATCTTTGGGACCTGCGGGACCTGTGGGGCCTGCGGAACCTGTGGTACCCGCGGGACCTGTGGGACCTGTGGTACCTGCACGACCTGCGAGACTTGTGGGGTCTGCGGGACCTGTGGGACCCGTCGGACCTGTGGAACTCGTGGGACCCGTGTGGCCGTGAGGCCTGTAGGACACGTGCGACCTGTAGGACCAGTACGACACGTGAAACCAGTACGACACGTGAGACCTGTAGGACCAGTGCGGCCTGTGAGAACTGCGGGGCCTGCGAGACCTTTCGGGACTGTGGGACCTGTGAGGCCTGTGGGTCCTGTGGGGCCTGTGGGACCTGCAGGATCAACGAGACCTGCGAGCCCTCTGGGGCCTGTGGGAACTATGGGCGTTGTGGGAGCGGCGGGAGATGTGGAACCCGTGGGACCTATAGAATCCATGGGACCTGCGAGACCTGTGGGCCTTGTGGGACCTATGGGACGTGTAGGACCTGCCAGGGCCCGCGAGACATACGAGGCCTGCGGCGCCTGCGAGACTTGTCGGACCTGCGGGACCTGTGATACCTGTGGGACCTGCGGGATCGGTAGGACCTGCGGGACCTGTGGGGCTTGCGACAGCTGTGGGGCCTGGGGGACTTGTGGGACCCCTGGGACCTGTGGGACCTGTGAGACGCATGGGACGCGTGGGACCTGCGAGACCTCCGAGACCTGTGGGGCCTGTAAGACCTGTGGGACTTGCGGGGCCTGTTAGACCTGCGCGACCTGCGAAACCTGCAAGACCTGCGGGACCTGTGGAACCCGTGGGACCTGCGGGACCTGTCAGATCGGTGAGACCTCTGGGACTTGCGACTGCCGAAGACCCAAGTGCCGCCCGGCACCCAAATAAGGACCTGACTTGGGATTCCAGGAACTCCTTATGATTGATGGGTCGACCAATGTCTCCTGCTTGGGGACCATCGAGGCCCCCAGGGGGGATGTGTTGAGGAACCCGTAGTTGCCTTACGTCCAACATGTTTTCTGGAGCGGGGGGGCACAACATTCAAACGTCCTGTGGCCGTCGGAGCCCCTTAACAAACCACCCCGCTTGGAAACGCGAAACAACTGTTGCGCCAGGACTTGAAAACGACTCTGCTGCCGTCGCCGACGTAGTTGTACTGCCCACGACGCCCAAAGTGTCCCAGAGAGCCCCAAGACGGCCCAAGAAGGCCCCAAGAGGCCCCCAAGACAACCCAACAAGACCCCAGGACATGCCCAATACGGCCGAAGAGTGCCACGTGACAGCCCCAAGGGAGGCAAGAAAAAGGGACGAATACTGATGTGGAAGGAGGGGGGCGTGACAACAGGAAGACGGAAGGAGGGGGAGAGCGACGAAGAATACGAAGGAGTACGCCCCGAAAAGACGCGGATGAGCGTGTCATAAGTTGCGGCATTTGCACGGGTATGGGCGACGATGTATCGCGTGGTGCGGTTCGTGGCGGTACTCGAAGACCCGCCACGCCGAACATCTTGGAATAGCGGTGCGCGGGACTTGCCGCCAGCAAAATCGGCAGACAGTCAGTCGGACTCGATTGGACAGGACAACCGAGAGGACATAAGACCCGTTCCGACGGCAACGTGGCCCCTGAACACCAAGGGACATGCGGCTTGCATAGGTCGGAATAGACAGGACACAAGGGTACCCTCGACTTGGTATGGTCGACCTACTAATCAGGGCGGCCGACTGTAACGCAAACACCTGGCTTTTTACGCGCAACCGCAACGCGTACCATTTGTCGACGAAATCGCGCCCGCCAAGGCCCGACCGGGCGCTCCACTTGGAGACGCACGCAATTCACCATTACCCTGTGCCGTACACAACCCATTTGCATCAAATGACAAGAGGAGTTGGCCCAAACTGGCCAGGGCAATGACAATGCAGGCGCGGTTCTATGTTGTGCAAGCTACATGGGATGCGCTCACGTGGCACGATTGACAGGACAACAACAGAAAGACGAGGAGCGAGGGCCCAGGCGTGAGGACGACATGGGGGCGGGAACGAAAGGCAGGAAAAGGACGCGTGGAGGGGAGGGGGGGGGGGGGGGGGGGCAAACCGTCAGCGCGGCAGCAGCAAAAGGAAGGTGGCAGGGGGCAACGGACGACGAACGTGACGGGAAAGACCGAATAGTGTTGCTGTTGTCGGTGGTACGCTAAAGATGCAGCACTGCCTGCGCCATGTCGCCGCGGCGTTCGAGCAAAAATTACAGCTGCCTATAGTTAGTGCAAGAAGCGAGCGAAGCCTAGCTCGCTCGCGCGCCAGCTTCGTAGCCCCACAAGGATGGCGAGGCCTCCTGATGACCCGCGTAAGACGTTACTCCGCTCGACCTCCCCAGCATGCCTCGAAAGTGGCGACAGTTTCGCAGATCGCACCCCCACAGGGATGGCGAGGTCGCATTTGAATCTGGGTAGGACGTCACTCCGCTGGACCCACCAGCAGGGATGGCGAGGTCTAATATGACTCTGCGTCTCTGCGTAACACGTCACTCAGACAGACCCCCCAGCAGCCCTCGAAAGTGGCGACAGTTTCGCAGATCGCACCCCCACAGGGATGGCGAGGCCAGATCTGAATGTGCGTAGCACGTCACTCCGCTCGACCGCTCAGCAGCCTTCGAAATTGGCGACGGTTTCGCAGATCGCACCCCTACAGGGATGGCGAGGTCGAATCTGAATCTGCGTAGCACGTCACTCCGCTCGACCCCCAGCGGCCTTCGAAAGTGGCGACAGATTCGCAGAGCGCAGCCCCACAAGGATGGCGAGGTCGAATCTGAGTCTGCGTAGCACGTCACTCCGCTGGGCCCCTCAGCGGTCCTTGAAAGTGGCGACAGTTTGGCAGATCGCAGCCCCCCAAGGACGGCGAGGCAGGAGACAAGCTGGCACGCAAAAAGGAACGGGGTAAGAAGCAGGAGGGAGGAGACAGGAGGCGGGAAGGAGGAGAAGGAGGAGGAGACCGCAAGTGCCCGATTCGAAACAGGGCTAGGACACAGCAGAGCGGCATGCCCACCGCGCTTGCAGCAGTCAGTGTTTCGGGCCCCCGCGCCCCTTGCGAAGCAATGACTAGTTGGGCCCCCCCGACACATCGAGCCCAAGATGCGTTCATTTGTGTTAACCGAGTCCCTGCGTGCTTGGCCTGTTTGGCCTTCCAGGCAGAAAGTGTGCCCAAACACGAGGTTTGGGGGAGGGATCTTCAGAGAACCCCTCCCCATCGGCGCCCCGCCTCCCTCCTCACTGCTGCCTCCTGCCTCCCTCGTCCCCCATCTCCCCCCTTCCCCGCCCTTTCTCCTCCCTCCTCCCAGGGGGAGGCGCCCATCCTGGCCCAGAGTCCTGGCCAAGCCAGCATCCCCGGCGTTCCCCCTCCCTCCTCACTGGACCGACCATCGCCACGCCAATCTTGGGCCCAGGATCAGAGTACATGGCCTCCCGGCCATGCCAGGACGGCGTACACAGGCATCCTGCTCTCAGCCCAGCGTCGGCCTGGCCTAGAAGCTGGAAACGCACATAGCTGGATCCACGTGTGGAACACCTGGAGGCCACGCGCTGGGCACACATGCGGAAGCCCAGCCCGGGCCCTGAAAGGCCGGAGCACCAAGCTCTCGCCCCAGCCGCGTCGTGTGCATCCAGATTCCTGCCGCCCTTCTGTCCACGCCCCTCCTCGGGGAGGAGGCCAGCGCCCCACAGACCCCAGGACTCTCTGGCACGCCCGAGAGAAGGGCAGCCGAAGGGACGAGACATCCTCATCCCCTGTTTTCTCCGGCTGGAACCCTAAACATCCGACGATCTGATTTTCTCAGCGCGCAGCCCCAAAGGTCCCGACTCCTCCCCCCGGGCCACTTTTTCGTCCCGGAGCCATTCTTGATGGTCCCAGTGCCCGATGACGAGCCCCGAAGGCCGAATCAAGAAGAAACGCCTGATCGAAAAAACAAATATCGTCGGAGATCTGGGACTGGCACACTCCTGGCCTGCGTAGGCCTTGTGCCTGGGGTGGGGGAACGTCACGGGGTGACCAGCTCAGGGGGTGAAACATCCTCAAGCTGGAATCGGCGACGCATCGCCGATAATTCAGCGCCAGGCTCCAGATAGCGCATCCGCACGCTCCTGGGCGGGGGGGGGGGCTCTCGGGCCCCCCTCGGCGGTCAGAGGGCGATTGGGGGTCTATGCATCTTTCCCCAGAGCCTACGGTCGGGAACTTTTGCTTCGCGTGTCGCGACGGCGACCCCGGCGCCTCGAGCGAATAGCGTGTCGCTCCGCTCCGCGGGGCGGGAGGCTGGCAAAAGCTCGGGACGTTCACAGACACCTGGGGGCTGGGACGTGCTTGACGCGTCCCGCCGAAGCGCAGCGGGCCAGAACCAACCGCGCGACACGCTGAGCAAACGTTCCTGACCGTATCGCCCTCAACGTTGCCCTTGGCTTTTGGGTCATAACTCGGCTCTCTGGCGGCCGTTCGGGACGATCTGGGCACCTCCGGAACGCCCTCGGCGAGGTGCAGCCACCGGAAGGCATCCCGAGACCGGAGAGCCGCCGAGAACCGACACAAGCGCCCGCAAACATCAAACCTCGAACCTCGAACCTCACGTGAGCGACGATCAAAAACGGATCTTACGCGAGATGACGTGGCGGCCTTCCGCGGCGGCTTACGCGGGCCGCCACAGCGCCACGTTACGTTGGGAACGAGGGCGCTCACGCGCGAGGTTACGCGGGCAGCTTACGCGCGAATGTCGGGGAAGACGGCCCCGCTTTTTTGGAGTCCCGAAACGGTACGGTGACGGACCGTGCGGTGACCTCGAAATCCCCCAAGACCTCACTGCACGGTCCGTCACCGCACGGCCTTGGGACCTCGGATGCCGCCGAGACGTCCTCGAAGAACGACCCGAGTCACTCAAAACCGTGCGGTGACCCCGACTCCCCACCGACTCACCGCGCGGTGTGGCTACCACCCCGCTTGGGGGCCCCCGAGCTGTCTTTTGCCGCTCACGCTGCCCCGGAGGAGGCGCCCACCCCGGCGGGGAGGGGAGGAGAGGGGAGGAGAGGGGAGGCGAGGGGAGGGGAGGGGAGGGGAGGGAGGAGGAGAAGGAGGAGGAGGAGGAGGGCCACCCCCGCCCCGGGGGCCTGCTCGGCACCCGCGCCGAGAGCAGGCCGCCCAGCAGCGCGCAGTCCGAGGCGCCGCCGCCCGGGGCGGCCGGGGGCGCCACCTCGCGCGGGCGCTCCGAGGAGGGGCCGGGGCTTCGCCAACGGGGGCGTACAGTGCCGTTTTTAATACATGCTCCGCGTGCGGATCATGTATTAAAAATGCAGGGAGTTAGTATTAAAAACAACGATGAGTTCATGCATAAATCTATTCATGAATTAGTCATGTATTAAAAATCTTATATATCTTCAAAAATCCAATGTATTAAAACCTGCCCTGTACACTGGAGGCCAGTCCACAAGATGACTTCCACAAGAAGCCCAACCCCGAGACCCCAGGACGTCCACCGAGTTTTGGGGCGGGAGCGCCACGCTCTGCGTCGCCAGACCGTCGAAGCCCAAGAGACCCGGGGCACCCTGGAGGCGAGCAGGGTGTTTCTCGGCATGGGTCTCCACTGTATCTGAACGGGGGCTGAGGCTTTTCTATATGCCTCCGTTTGCCATGCCGCCGCCCACAGCGCCCAGGGCCCCCCGAACGCCCAGGGCCCCCTGCACGGGGGCATGGGCAGACGTGAAGATCGGCGTTCCCCGTGCCTCCGGTTGCTGCGTCCCCGCGTTCCTCGTGACCCAAAAGTGGGTCCAGCTCAAAGAAGGTGGTGAAAAGATTTGGGGCAATTGCACTGCAAATGCGTTGGTCCAAAGAACTGTTTTGCACTGTATCGCAATTATCCCAGTGCGACCCTACCTAGGAGTTGGAGCCCCTAGGAAAGCAGCATTAGTAGTAACAGCAAAGCTAAGCTAAAGCTAAGCTAAAGCTAAGCTACAGCTAAGCTAAAGCTAAGCTAAAGCTAAGCTCAAGCTAAGCTCAAGCTAAGCTCAAGCTAAGCTCAAGCTAAACTCAAGCTAAGCTCAAGCTAAGCTCAAGCTAAGCTGAAGCTAAGCTCAAGCTAAGCTGAAGCTAAGCTGAAGCTAAGCTGAAGCTAAGCTGAAGCTAAGCTGAAGCTAAGCTGAAGCTAAGCTAAAGCTAAGCTCAAGCTAAGCTGAAGCTAAGCTAAAGCTAAGCTCAAGCTACGCTGAAGCTAAGCTGAAGCTGAAGCTAAGCTGAAGCTAAGCTGAAGCGAAGCTGAAGCTAAGCTGAAGCTAAGCTGAAGCTATGCTATGCTGCGCTATGCTATGCTATGCTATGTTGGGCTATGATATGATGTGCTATGCTGCGCTATGCTATGCTACGCTATGCTATACTATGCTGTGCTCTGCTATGCTAAAGCTCAGCGAAGCTAAGATGAAGGTAAGCTAAGCTAAGATAAACCTGAGCTAAGCTGAAGCTAAGCTAAGCTAATATGAAATAAGCTAAGCTAAGATGAGATAAGCAACGCCAAGCTAAGGGGACGTAACTGGGGGAACCGCGGGGCGGATCCTGGGGGAACCGCCCGAGGCGAGCCCCACTGCCCGGCCCCTTTAAGCTCAGAGAGTAAGAACCCTTCTAGGCAGAGCCTAGTAGGGAACTAATGCATTGCACGCGAAAATCCAGCAATACATTTGCGCCCGGGAATGTCTTGCACACCCCAAGTTTATTGCAACCCCACAAATCCGTTGCACCAAATCTATTGCACCACCCCCTTTTCGCTGGACCCCGCTTTAGGTTGGCGCCCTGGAGGGGTCGGGGATGACGGAAAGAGTGAGGTACGAGTGATGTACGCTGGGTTGGGGCGAAGCCTTCTAGGGAGAGGTCCGGGGGCGGGGCGAAGACCGAACGCATGCGTCCAATGGCCGCTGCTCGGGTTTGTCCGCAGGGGCTTCGCTGGTGACGGAACGAGCGGGGTTCGAGCGAGGTGGGGCGAAGCCCTCTAGGGGGGGGGGGGGGAGTGCAGAGGCGGGGCGAGGCGGGGACGACCCGGATGACGGAAAGAGCGAGGCAGGAGTGGTGTGCGCTCTGGCGGGGCGAAGCCCTCCAGGCAGGCGTGCAGAGGAGAGGGGGCGAGGAGCGCGCACCGCGGATCTGGTGGCGTAACTTTCCTCGTAGGTCTTCGAATGGAGCGGCTCCCGGGGCGGCTCCGATGGCCCGTTTGTTCGCATTTGTTCGAGCGACGCGGCCCAAGGGCTCCAAGACGACCCAAGAGGGCCCCAAAACAGCCCCCACAGGGCCCCAAGACGGCTCCAAGAGAGCCTCAGATGGCCTCCAGACCATCCAAGAGAGCCTCGAGAAGGCTCCAAAGGCTCTCCAGAGACTCCCGAGACGGCCCCCAGGAGCGAAAAACACTCTATTTTCTGTGGTTTTTCCAGGTTTGGGGGATTCTTGCTTTTTCTGGCCAAGAACGATCCGAAACGGCCCAAGGAAGAGGAGAAAGAGGGAGGAGGAGGAGGAGGAGGAGGACGAGGAGGAGGAAAAGGATGCAGATGAGGAGGCGGCAGAGGAGGAGAAGAAGAAGAGGAAGAGGAGGGAGAGGAGGGAGAGGAGGAGGAGGAGGAGGAGGAGGAGGAGGAGGAGGAGGAGGAGCAAGGCTCCCAACTGAGAGCGGTGACGTAGCACGCGCTTACCAGCAAGGCTCCCAAGAGCGAGCGGTGACGCAACAAGCTTTTACCACCAAGGCTCCCAAGAGCGAGCGGCAACGTAAGCATCTCTGGGCACGAGGACTCTGAACATAGAGCGGTGACGCAACAAGTTCTTCCCAGCAAGGCTCCCAACAAAGAGCGGTGACGTAACATGCGCTTACCAGCAAGGCTCCCAAGAACGAGCCGTGGAGCAACAAGCTCTTACCACCAAGGCTCCCAAGAGCGAAGGGTGCTATGAGCCATCTCGGGCAAAATGCTGAAACGCTCTTTCCGTTCACCTGCCGGCCCAGGTAACGGAAAGAGCGAGGTACGAGTAATGTACGTTGAGTTGGGGCGAAGCCTCCTCCTCCTCCTCCTCCTCCTCCTCCTCCTCCTCCTCCTCCTGCTCCTGCTCCTGCTCCTGCTCCTGCTCCTCCTCCTCCTCCTCCTCCTCCTCCTCCTCCTCCTCCTCCTCCTCCTCCTCCTCCTCCTCCTCCTCCTCCTCTTCCTCCTCCGCCCCTTTTCCACATAAACTCGCTGGCCCAACGGGCCAAGGGCGTGCTAAGATCTTCGGTAACTTGTGAACAATATTTCTAGTTCGCGCGCGCGGGGCCGCCCCAGGGGGTCCCCGGAAGAAAAGTACCTCCGCAAGTCCTGGCAAGGTCCCGGCAAGATCCCGGGCAGGTCCCGGGCAGGTCCGGGGCTGGTCCTGGGCAGGTCCCAGTCAGGTCCCAGCAGGCTCCAAAGAGCGCTCCAGGAGCGATTCAAGTGGCCCCCAAGAGAGCTCAACATGGTCCGAGACGGTCCAAGAGCGATCCAAGACGCCAAAGATTGCCTCCAGACAGCCCAAAGCGCCTTCAAGACGCCCAAAGAGGCCTCCAAGAGACCCCCCAAGAGGGCCCACAGAGGCAGAAATTCGTGATTGTCCTTCAGTTTCTGACGGTTTTGGGCGTTCTCGCCTTTTCGGCTTACCGGCGCTCCAAAAGACCGCCCCAAGACGGCCCACGAAGCCTCCAAGAGGGCCCCAAGACGGCCAAAATGGCCCCAAGACAGCCTACGAGGCGCCCAAGACGGCCCAAGAGCCCCAAAACGGCCCCAAGAGGGGCCCAAGAAGGGGACCAGGAACCGAAAAGACCAGCCTTCACCCCCAAGAGGCCAACAGAAGGCCCCAAGAGGCCCCCAAGAGGCCCCAAGGGGCCCCAAGAGGCACCCCAAGAAGCCCCAAGAGGCCCCCAAAAGGCCCCCAAGAGGCCTCAAACCTGCCTCCCAAAAGCCCCTGAGAGGACAACCACGAGAGCCCAACCAACATCTGTGAGGCCTCTGACCCGGCACCCACCGCCTCCGAAAAATGGCAGCCGCCCCACCGCACCGCCTTGACAACAACACCCCGACAGACGACAGTGGCGAGGCAATACGGGCTGGCGGAATGTGCGAAGCGATTACATAACTTCTCCCTGTCGCACCCCCAGACGTATCGGCAGGGCGGGCCGGGTGTTTCGCCTGAGACGTCCTCGCCACTCATGATCCTGAAGCTTGAGATTTACAACAGCTTCACGGATGGACAATGGCAGGTTTTCACAATATGGCTCTCGCCTTAGCGCCGCGCACACTCGTCTTGAAACCTTACGACCGCTTGAAGGATGGAAGGCGCCTGGTTGCGAAATGTGGCTCTCGCAGTAGCGCCTCGTTCATTCGTCTGAAAAACTTGCAGCGGTTTCAAGGATTGCAGCGCACGGTGATAGGAGATGGGGGACAGCTAACTGCTCGCACGGATCTCTCCAAGGGTGCGATCTGGCCAAGACTCCGAGGCGAGACAGGCCCTGGCCACGAGGGGAGGGCGACGGTGTCGGCACCTGCTTCCTCTCTCAGGAGCAGAAGGAGCAGGAGGCGCGGCCAGAGCCGCCGCATCGCCGATGCAGCGGCCATGCGGCGCGACCCTCCAACCCCATCGGATTGCTCGGCCCCCACCTGGGAGCCCTGGAGCGCCGCCACCTTCCTCCTCCCCCCGAGGAGCGGGAGGAGGGTCGAGGAGGAGAGAGGCGGCAAAGGCGGCGAGGAGGCCCGAGGAGGCCCCGAGGCGAGGCCCCGAGGCGAGGCGGCGAGGGCGGCGAGGGAGGCCCCGAGGAGGCCCCGAGGAGGCCCCGAGGCGCCCGAGGCGGCGAGGAGGCGCCCGAGGCGGCGAGGCGGCGCGGCCGAAGCCGCCGTGGGGAAGCTGGCGCCGCCGGCCGGGGCGGCGGCCAGCGTCGTCGGCGCCGACGGGGCCGCGCCGGCGCTCGGCCCGGGGAGGGGCGGCCGCGGGGGCTCCTGCGCGCGGGCGGCACGGCCACGGAGAGCGGGGCTCGCCGTCGCCGGCGAAGGCCCTCGTCGTCGCCCTCGTCGCCCTCGTCGTCGCCCTCGTCGTCGCCCTCGTCGTCGCCGTCGTCGTCGCCCTCGTCGTCGCCCTCGTCGTCGCCTTCGTCGCCCTTGTCGCCCTCGTCGCCCTCGTGCCTCGGGGCCGCCTCTGCACCCGCCGAGGATCAAGATCGGGGAGGCCGAGAAGAGGAAGGAACATAGAAGCAGCCGCCGGCGAGGCCCCGCCTCCGCCAGCTGCCACCACTCCGCCACCCGTGCCTCGAGGGGCCATGGCTTCGCTATGCGCTTGCCCTTAGGCCAGGGGAGCGTTCCCTGTCCAAGGATGGGCTTAGAGCACCTCATCACCGGATAACCTCGTCAACATCTTCGTCTTCGCAGGAGGGGGGGGGAGTCAGCTCACGTAGCTGATTTTCCCCGCGCCATCCCGCGCCAGAGGCGCCAATTTATCGGGGAATGCGTCTGGCGGCGGGGCCGAAACCAGCTGCAAGCAGCAGATGCCGTACCCCCCCCTTCCCTATACCCCCTTTTGTCCGACCCGAGCTTTGCCTACCTTGGCGCAGTCGAATTAGCGTGAACTAGCGTACCCCTTGACCTCTTAGATTTGGACTGTTTCATTGCTTCTCAAAGACGCCGCGCATGGCCTTACCACAGCGTCGCCCAGCGCAGCTCGCTCACGTGCTGCAGCGCACCTATATGGCAACAACCATTACTCAATCGCTTGACTCCAGTAAGTTACCACCCTCACTATGGTTACTAACAAATTCCGCATCTTCCTCCTCATCGTTGCTGTCGTCGTGCTCTTCATTACCATCGTAATCGTCACTATCGTTATCATCACCATAATCAATCTCAAAATCAACCTCACCATCCTCACTGTAATCGACCTTATCACCATCCTCATCATCATCGCCATTGTCATTGTCTTCACCATCCTCGTGATAACAATCATATCCCTCCTCCTCCTCCTCCTCCTCCTCCTCCTCATCATCATCATCATCATCATCATCATCATCACAATATTCATCACCATCACCATCACCATCACCATCACCGTCGTCATCATCGTCGTCATCGTCTTCATCATCAGAACCGCTTCCATCACCACCCCCTCCCTTCGTTCGCGCGACGTCCACCGGCCACGTCGCCGATCCTGGCCAGTCTGGCCTTGGACCCCACATCGGTGTGCACGCCTCCATGGCCAGGCCAGGAGGACGCATGCACAAACCCGGGGCCCAGGGCCGGCCCAGCACACGGTCGGCCCGGACATCCGACGATGCGTTTTTCTCCAAGGAGGCTTGCCTATAGGAGTCCTAGCTCAAGCCATCGAAAACTGGTCCACAGGTCAGCCCCCTGCTTTGCCCTTGCACGCGTCAAGCTATCCGCATGGCTTCATCTGCTATCCGCATGATTTCCTCTGTATCCGCACGACTTCCTCTGCTATTATAATGATTTCCTGTGGCTATTCAAATGGTGTCCCCAGAACCGTCCGACAATCGTCAAAACTATCCGCATGGTTTCCTCTGTATCCGCATGGCTTCCCCTGCTATCCGCATCTCGTCCCCGTCGTCGACGTCCTCTCCTCGCCGTCGTCGTCGTCCTCATCATACTCAATTTCGCCGTCGTCGTCGCCGTCGCCGTCATGTTCGTCCTCACCGTCGTCGTCGTCGTCGTCGTCGTCGACGTCGTAGTCGTGGGTGGCGTCATCCTCGTCGTCGACGTTGTCGTCGTCCTCGTAGTCGTCGCCGTCGTCGTCGTCGTCGTCGTCGTCCTCATCCTCGTCGTCCTCGTCCTCGTCGCCCTCGTCGTCCTCGGCGCTTTCTGCCCCACTGCAACCCACCACGCTGCCGCTCGTCGAGAGGCCGCGGGACGGCGGGGCGGCCCGGGGGAGGCTGCCTCGCGAAAGGCAGGCGGCGCCCGCCGCAGGTCGGTCCGGGCGCCGAATTGGGGCGCGCCGCGGCCGCGATGCTGGACGGAGCGCGATGCTGGAGGGAGGGGTCGGGTGTTGCTGGAGCTACCCCTGGCCCAAGGTACCCCCAGCTTTTCGCTGTAATTCTGGGCCCCTGGGGCCCTCTGGGCCTCGTTGGGGGTGCGCTGGAGGCCATCCGGGCCACCCCGAGAAATCCTGGGGGCACCTTGGGCCAGGGGGCACTTCTAGCAACACCCGAGGGGGAGGGACGGAGGGGAGGGGGGAAGGCAAGGTGCCCTGGACACGTGAAGCGACGTGGTTCCAGCTCGGGCACAACATGTTAGATACCCCCCTGTGTGGCCTAGACACGTGAAAACACGTGGCTCCAGCTCGGGACCACCATGTTAGATACCCTCCTGGGCGACCTGGGCACGTGAAAAGACGTGGTTCCAGCGCGGGACCACTATGTTGGATACCCCGCTTCTGTGTGGCCTGGACAAGTGAAAACACATGGTACCAGCTCGGGACCACCATGTTAGATACCTACCTGGGTGCCCCGAACATGTGAAACGACGCGGTTCCAGCTCGGGACCACCATGTTAGATACCCACCTGGGTGGCCTGGACACGTGAAAACACGTGGTTCCAGCTCGGGACCACCATGTTAGATACCTCCTGGGCACTCCTAGCGAAATTCCGGCAAAAACCAGCGAATTAGTCGAGACGTTCTCGAAATTCATGCGCGCGGGACGCGGCACGCGCGAGACATCTTCGAAATTCCTGCGAGCGGGACGCTTTTCCGCGTCGCGGTCGGGGCTCCAGACTTCGTTTTTTGGGAAGGAATTATACAAAAAAACGCCCCGCAACTTTTTTTACGTAAGAAAACGGTGGTCTGCGGACCCCGTTATTTATCGAGGATCCGAGTTGGGGGGCAAACTTTCCTCGAGCGGGCACGCGAAAAACACACTTGTTCAACTGAAATGTCGTACTTTACTTTGTAATTTACCTCAGAATAGTTCCGCTGGCCCACCTCCCGTCGTCCCCGGGGGGAAACCCACTAAAAGAGAACCCTGCGCCGGAGCCCTTTCCGGGAAGGGTTTCGTTCGGGGCATCCTCTAACATAAAACAATCTATAACACAAAACAAGCGTTTCGCTCGAGACATCCTCAACAAATTCTGAAAAACATGATCGACCCACGAACCCGGAAAGGAATATAGACATGTAAAGCATGGCAACGTTTTCAAAGACACCTGACTGGGCGACGGGCAAATACAATGCTGAGTGTATCGATCTTGATGTAACGTGCCGAGAGCTGTGCTGTGCTGCACTGTGCTGAATTGCGATGTGCCATGCCGCGATTGTGCTCTATAGCGTCGTGGATCGAGTCCTTCTTTGCATCCGAGTCCTGGCCGAACTGATCTGGATCTTAAGCTCGAGCTGCCTGCGCACATAGTAGCTGCCCCAAAGCTAATTGACAGGGGGACATGCCAGGAGGACGCGCCTCGAAACGTCCCAAGGGACGCGCCAGGCGACGTGCCAGGTGACGTGCCATGGGGTCGCACCGCGGGAGGTGCCAAGGGGACGCGCTACGGAACGTGCCAATGGATGTGCCACGGGATGTGCCAGGGGACGCGCCGCGCGACGTGCCAGGGGGACTCGCCAAGGGACGCCCCACGAAACGTGCCAAGGAACGTGCCAGGTTGCAATGCTGAGTATATCAATCTTGATGTACCGTGCCGAAGTCTGTGTTGTGCTGCGCCGTGCTGAATTGCGATGTGCCATGCCGCGATTGTGCTCTATAGCGTTGTGGATCGAGTCCTCCTTTGCATCCGAGTCCTGACCGAACTGATCTGGATCTTAAGCACGAGCTGCCTGAACACATAGTAGCTGCCCCAGGGCTAATTGACAGGGGGACATTCCAGGAGGACGCGCCGCGGTACGTCTCAGGGGACGCGCCAAGCGACGTGCCAAGGGGACGCGCAACGGAACGTGCTGGGGGCAAGCGTTTCGCTCGAGACATCCTGTCAAAATCCTCATGCTAGACATCCGCCTGAGCGACCTGGACACATGAAAACAAGCGTTTCGCTCAACACATCCTCAACACATTCTCATGCTAGACATCCGCCTGGGCGAACTGGACACGTGAAAGAAAGTGATTTGCTCGAGACATCCTCAACACATCTTCATGTGAGACGTCCGCCTGGGTGACCTGGGCACGTGATAACAAGCGTTTCGCTGGAGACGTTTTCAACACCTCCTCATTCTAGACATCTTCCTGGGCGACCTGTACACGTGAAAGCAAACGTCTCGCTTGAGACATCCTCAACACATCTTCATGTTAGACATCCGCCTGGGCGACCTGGACACGTGCAAACAAGCATCTCGATCGAGACTTCCTCAACACATCCTCATTCTAGACATCCGCCTGGGCGACCTGTACACGTGAAAGCAAACGTCTCGCTCGAGACGTCCTCAACAAATCCTGGCGCTAGACCTCTGCCTGGGCAACCTGGAGGCGTGAAACCAAGCGTCTCGCTCGAGACATCCTCAAGACCTGGGCACGTGAAAACAAGCATTTCACTTGAGAGATCCTCTGAATTCTGGTCCCCAGGAAAAAACAATATATAACACAAAACAAGCGTTTCGCTCGAGACATCCTCAACAAATCCTGAAAAATAAGCGTTTCGCTCGAGACATCCTCAAAAAGAATTCCGTCGGCCCTAGACGACCTCGTAACTTATCACTCATAATTCCGCCGGCCCTACAGCTGTCGATTCCGGGGGTACACAACTAAAAAAGAACCCTGAGCCCCTGCCTTTTCCGGGAATAATTCCGCCGGCCCTATGCGACCTCGTCATTTATCGCAAAAAAATTCCACTGGCCCTACAGCCGTCGATTCCGGGGGTAAACCTCTAAAAGAGAACCCTGGGCCCACGCCCTTTCCGGGAACCTCTACAAGAGAACCCTGGGCCCACGCCCTTTCCGGGAACAAGCGTTTCGCTGGGGACATTCTCAAAAATGATTCCGCGGGCCCTCTTCCCGCCTCGGTATTAACCGCGAATAATTCCGCCGGCCCTCTTCCCGTCGGGTCGGGGAGGAAACAGCTAAAAGAGAACCCTGAGCCCGCGCCCTTTCCGGGAAAAAAGGAGGAAGGAGAGGAGAAGGCAGAAACATGATCGACCCACGAACCTGGAAAGGAATATAGAAATATAAAGCATGGCGGCGTTTCAAAGACACCTAATTGGGAGACGGGCAAATGCAATACTGAGTGTATCGATCTTGATGTACCGTGCCGAGGGCTGTGCTGTGCGCCATGCCGCGATTGTGCTCTATAGCGTTGTGGATCGAGTCCTCCTTTGCATCCGAGTCCTGACCAAACTGATCTGGATCTTAAGCTCGAGCTGCCTGAGCAGATGGTAGCTGCCCCAGAGCTAATTGACAGGGGGACATGCTAATTAGGAGGACGCTCCGCGGAACGTCCCAAGGGACGCGCCAGGCGACGTGCCAAGGGACGTGCCATGGGGACGCACCGCGGGACGTGCCAAAGGGACGCGCTACGGAACGTGCCAATGGATGTGCCACGGGATGTGCCAGGGGACGCGCCGCGCGACGTGCCAGGGGGACTCGCCACGGGACGCGCCACGGAACGTGCCAAGGAACGTGCCAAGTTGCAATGCTGAATGTATCGATCTTGATGTACCGTGCACAGGGCTATGCTGTGCTGGGCCGTGCTGAATTGCGATGTGCCATGCCGCGATTGTGCTCTATAGCGTTATGGATCGAGAGCTCCTTTGCATCCGAGTCCTGACCGAACTGATCTGGATCTTAAGCTCGAGCTGCCTCAGCTGAGAGTAGCTGCCCCAGAGCTAATTGACAGGGGGATATGCTAGGAGGACGCGCCGCGGAACGTCACAAGGGACGCGCCAAGCGACGTGCCAAGGGACGTGCCTTGGGAACGCACCGCGGGACCTGCCAAAGAGACGCGCTACGGAACGTGCCAATGGACGTGCCACGGGACGTGCCAAGGGACGCGCCGCGCGACGGGCCAGGGGGACTCGCCACGGGACGCGCCACGGAACGTGCCAAATTGCAATGCTGAGTGCATCGATCTTGCTGTATCGTGCCGAGAGCTGTGCTGTGCTGCGCCGTGCTGAATGAACTGCGATGTGCCATGCCGCGATTGTGCTCGATTTAACGTTGTGGATCGAGTCCTCCCTGGCATCCGAATCCTGACCAGACTGATCTGGATCTTAAGCTCGAGCTGCCTGAGCAGATGGTAGCTGCCCCAGAGCTAATCGACAGAGGGGACATGCCACGAGGACGCACCGCGGAACGTCCCAAGGGACGCGCCAGGCGACGTGCCAAGGGACGTGCCATGGGGACGCACCGCGGGACGTGCCAAAGGGACGCGCTACGGAACGTGCCAATGGACGTGCCGCGGGACGTGCCAAGGGACGCGCCGCGCGACGGGCCAGGGGAACTCGCCACGGGACGCGCCACGGAACGTGCCAAATTGCAATGCTGAGTGCATCGATCTTGCTGTATCGTGCCGAGAGCTGTGCTGTGCTGCGCCGTGCTGAACTGCGATGTGCCATGCCACGATTGTGCTCGAGTTAACGTTGTAGATCGAGTCCTCTTTGCATCCGAGTCCTGACCGAACTGATCTTGATCTTAAGCTCGAGCTGCCTGAGCAGATGGTAGCTGCCCCAGAACGAATCGACAGAGGGGACATGCCAGGAGGACGCGCCGCGGAACGTCCCAAGGGACGCGCCAGGCGACGTGCCAGGGGACGTGCCAGGGGCACGCACCGCGGGACGTGCCAAAGGGACGCGCTACGGAACGTGCCAATGGACGTGCACCGCGCGAGGTGCCAGGGGAACTCGCCACGGGACGCTCCGCGGAACGTGCCAGGCAACATGCCAGGCTGCAATGCTAAGGGTATCGATATTGATGTACCGTGCCGAGGGCTGTGCTGTGCCTGGGTGACCTGGACACGTGGAAACACGCGTTCTGCCCAAGACGTTCTCAGCACATCCTCATGCTAGACATCCGCCTGGGCAACCTGGACACGTGCAAACAAGCGTCTCGATCGAGACTTCCTCGACACACCCTCATGCTAGACATCCGCCTGGGCGACGAGGACACGTGAAAACAAGCCTCTGGCTCGAGACATCCTCAACAAATCCTGGCGCTAGACCTCTGCCTGGGCGACCTGGAGGCGTGAAACCAAGCGTCTCGCTCGAGACATCCTCAAGACCTGGGCACGTGAAAACAAGCATTTCACTTGAGAGATCCTCTGAATTCGGGTCCCCAGGAGATGACAATCTATAACACAGAACAAGCGTTTCGCTCGAGACACCCTCAACAGATTCTGAAAGACAAGCGTTTTGCTCGAGACATCCTCAATTTCTACTTCGCCGGCCCTACGCGACCTGTTATTTATCGCAAAAGAAATTCGCCAGCCCACCTCAAATCAAACCCGGAGGTAAACCAACTAATAGAGAACTCTGAGCTTATGCCCTTTCCGGGAAAATTGAGGCCAGGACCCTGTTCTCCCGACGGGACTCGGCAGGACGGAGAGGAGCGGAAGGGACACGGGGGAGAAGGCGGGGAGGCCCAGGCGAGGAGCGGCGGAGAGACAAGGGAGCCACCCGGCGGATGGCGCATGCAGCGACCTTCGGCCGCTGGCTCGTTTGGCCAACCTGGGCCAGGTCGTGGTACCCTCTCCTCCTCCTCCTCCTCCTCCTCCTCCTCCTCCTCCTCCTCCCTCCTCCTCCTCCTCCTCCTCCTCCTCCTCCTCCTCCTCCTCCTCCTCCTCCTCCTCCTCCTCCTCCTCCTCCTCCTCCTCCTCCTCCTCCGCCTCCTCCTCCTCCTCCTCCTCCTCCTCCTCCTCCTCCTCCTCCTCCTCCTCCTCCAGGGGGGAGCGCAGGGCGTCGCACAGGCCGCGGTGGGGCAGCACCATCGCCCTCATGGCAACGCAGAAGGCATATGTGCACCACCGCCGTGCCTGGCCAGGGCCATCCTGGGCCCTGGCGCGGTGCACTGCGCCCTCCCAGCTGGGGCCAGGAGGGTCAGTGCACCAGCCTGGGGCCCAGGATGGCCCTGGCCAGGCACGGCGGGGGCGCTCGGCTGGGGAAACAAGAAGATAGCGATACCGCTGCGCTCCAGACCTCTCCCAAAGGTGGCGTTCTGACCTAAGTTCGAGGCAAACCCAGCCGTGTCGACGAGGGCCTCCGCAGAGGTCCAGGAGGGCGGCAACGAGGGAAGTGCAACGGCATCGGTACTTGCTCCTCCTCTGTACAGGCGCCTTCTGCGAAATGGTGGCGAAGACGCCCCAGCTCGGCAGCGCCGCGGACACCCCAAGCAGGGCTCCTTCCTCATGCGCTGCACACGGAGCTAATGCCGAGCAGCGAGCGAGGACCCGCAGCAGGCCCTTGAAACAAGCGCAGGAATCTGCCCATAAGCTGTCAGTGCGCTGCTCCCCCCTTCCTTGTCCTCTCCCTCTTCCTCCTCCCATGCCCCCTCCTCCAGGTCTCTCTCGTCCCCCGCCTTCCATTTGTATCCTCCCGCGTCCTTCCGCTTCCCTCCCTCCACCCTCCTCGTCCATCTTCCCTGCTGGCCCTACTCCTGAGTATGCCCCTTGTTTGCGCATCCTCCACCTCCTCTTTCTCCCCCTCCTCCTCTTCCATTCCATTTTCTTTTGAATAAATTCTCCTTGTCGCCCCCCGGGGTCAGTGTTTAGGGCGGGCCGGGCGTTTCGCCTGAGAAATCCTCACCATGTATGACCCTGAAGCTTATTAAAGATTGGCAATATATTCACAGATGGAGGGCGGGCCGTTCTCAAAATGTCGCTCTCGCCTCAGCGCCGCGCGCATTCGTTTGAAACATGATCGACCCACGAACCTGGACAGGCATATGGAAATGCAACGCATGGCAACGTTTTCACCGACACCTGATTGGGTGACGGGCAAATGCAATGCTGAATGTATCGATCTTGATGTACCCTGCCGAGGGCTGTGCTGTGCTGCACCGTGCTGAATTGCGATGTGCCATGCCGCGACTGTGCTCTATAGCGTCGTGGATCGAGTCCTCCTTTGCATCCGAGTCCTGACCGAACTGATCTGGACCTTCAGCTCGAGCTGCCTGAACACATAGTAGCTGCCCCAGAGCGAATTGACAGGGAGATATGCCAGGAGGACGCGCCCCGAAACGTCCCAAGGGACGCGCCAGACGACGTGCCAGGGGACGTGCCACGGGGTCGCACCGCGGGACGTGCCAAGGGGACGCGCTACGGAACGTGCCAATGGATGTGCCACGGGATGTGCCAGGGGACGCGCCGCGCGACGTGCCAGGGGGACTCGCCACGGGACGCGCCACGGAACGTGCCAAGGAAAGTGCCAGGTTGCAATGCTGAGTGTATCGATCTTGTACCGTGCCGAAGTCTGCGCTGTGCTGCGCCGTGCTGAACTGCGATGTGCCATGCCGCGACTGTGCTCTATAGCGTCGTGGATCGAGTCCTCCTTTGCATCCGAGTCCTGACCGAACTGATCTGGATATTAAGCTCGAGCTGCCTGAACACATAGTAGCTGCCCCAGAGCTAATTGACAGGGGGACATGCCAGGAAGACGCGCCGCGGAACGTCTCAAGAGACGCGCCAAGCGACGTGCCAGGGGACGTGCCATGGGGACGCCCCGCGGGACGTGCCAAGGGGACGCGCTACGGAACGTGCTGGGGACAAGCGTTTCGCTCGAGGCATCCTGTCAAAAACCTCATGCTAGACATCCGCCTGAGCGACCTGGACGCGTGAAAACAAGCGTTTCGCGTAACACATCCTCAACACACTCTCATGCTAGACATCCGCATGGGCGAACTGGACACGTGAAAATTACCCCAGTGCGACCCTACCTAGAAGTTGGAGCCCCTAGGAAAGCAGCATTAGTTGCTATGTTGTGCTATGATGTGCTATGCCATGCTATGCTGCGCTATGCTATGCTATGATCTGCTATGCTATGGTATTCTGCGCTATGGTAGGATATCGTATGACATGATATGCTAAGATGTGATATGCCATGCTGCGCTGTGCTATGCTAGGCTATGCTATGATATGATTTGGTATGCTAAGCTGCGCTATGATATGCTATGGTATGCTATGCTATGCTATGTTATGCTGCGCTATGGTATGCTATGCTGGGCTATGCTATGATATGCTATGCTGCGTTATGATATGCTACAATATGCTATACTATGCTGTGCTCTGCTATGCTAAAGCTCAGCGAAGCTAAGATGAAGGTAAGCTAAGCTAAGATAAACCTGAGCTAAAATGAAGCTAAACTAAGCTAAGATGACATAAGCTAAGCTAAGATGAGATAAGCAACGCTAAGCTAAGGGGACGTAACTGGGGGAACCGCGGGGCGGATACTGGGGGAACCGCCTGGGGCGCTTTCCACTGCCCGGCCCCTTTAAGCCTAGAGAGTAAGAACCCTTCTAGGGAGAGCCTAGGTAGGGAACAATTGGTTCGCTCGAGACATCCTCAACACATCTTCATGTGAGACGTCCGCCTGGGTGACCTGGGCACGTGAAAACAAGCGTTTCGCTCGAGACGTGTTCAACACCTCCTTACTCTAGACATCCGCCTGGGCGACCTGTACACGTGAAAGCAAACGTCTCGCTCGAGACATCCTCGACACATCTTTATGTTAGACATCCGCCTGGGCGACCTGGACACGTGAAAACAAGCGTGTCTCTCGAGACATTCTTAACACATCCTCATGCTAGGCATCCGCCTGGGCAACCTGGACACGTGCAAACAAGCGTCTCGATCGAGACTTCGTCAACACATCCTCATGCTAGACATCCGCCTGGGCGACGAGGACGCGTGAAACCAAGCGTCTCGCTCGAGGCATCCTCAATCAATCTTGGCGCTAGACCTTTGCCTGGGCAACCTGGAGGCGTGAAACCAAGCGTCTCGCTCGAGACATCCTCAAGACCTGGGCGCGTGAAAATAAGCATTTCACTTGAGAGATCCTCTGAATTCTGGTCCCCAGGAGAGGACAATCTATAACACAAAACATTCGTTTCGCTCGAGGCATCCTCGACAAATTCTGAAAAACCCGCCGGCCCTACAGCCGTCGATTCCAGGAGTAAACCTACTAAAAAACCCTGGGCCCCCGCCCTTTCTGGGAAAATTAGAAGAGCTTCACAGATTGAAAGCGGGTGGCTTTCACAATGTAGCTCTCGCCTTAGCGCAGCGCACCTTCATTTTCAAAATGTGCAAGAGCTTCACGGATTGAGGGTGGCTCCTTTTCAAAATGTGGCTCTCGCCTTATCGCCACGCACATTCGTTTTGAACATCTGCAACAGCTTCACAGATGGAGGGCGGGTCGTTGTCAAAATGTGATTCTCGCCTTAGCGCCGCGGACATCCGTTTTGAAACATGATCGACCCACGAACCCGAAAAGAAATATAGAACTGTTAAGCATGGCAACGGTTCAAAAACACCTGATTGGACGACGTGCAAACGAAATGCTGAATGTATCGATCTTGATGTACCGTGCACAGGGCTGTGCTGTGCTGCGCCGTGCTGAATTGCGATGTGTCTTGCCGCGAGTGTACTCTATAGCGTTGTGGATCGAGTCCTCCTTTGCATCCGAGTCCTGACCGAACTGATGTGGATCTTAAGCTCGAGCTGCCTCAGCACATAGTAGCTGCCCAAAGCTGATTGACAGGGGGACATGCTAGGAGGACGCGCCGCGGAAAGTCCCAAGGGACGCGCCAGGCGACATGTCAGGGGACGTGCCATAGGGACGCACCGCGGGACGTGCCAAGGGGACGTGCCACGGGACGTGCCAGGGGACGCGCCGCGCGACGGGCCAGGGGAACTCGCCACGGGACGCGCCACGGAACGTGCCAAGGAAAGTGCCAGGTTGCAATGCTGAGTGTATCGACCTTGATGTACCGTGCCGAGGGCTGTGCTGTGCTGCGCCGTGCTGAACTGCGATGTGCCATGCCGCGATTGCGCTCTCTAGCGTCGTGGATCGAGTTCTCTTTTGCATCCGAGTTCTGACCGAACTGACCTGGATCCTAAACTCGAGCTGCCTCAGCACGTAGTAGCTGCCCCAGAGCTAGTTGACAGGGGGATATGCTAGGAGGACGCGCCGCGGAACGTCCCAAAGGATGCGCCAGGCGACGTGCCAGGGGACGTGCCACGGGGACGCACCGCGGGACGTGCCAAGGGGACGCGCTACAGAACGTGTCAATGGACGTGCCACGGGACGTGCCAGGGGACGCGCCGCGCGACGTGCCAAGGGGGACTCGCCACAGGACACGCTGCAACCGCGCTCCAAGGGCCGCGCTCCCTCGTGAATGACGCAGTTTCCACGCTTCCATGGCCGCGCTCCCTCGTGAATGACACAGTTGCCACGCTCCCAGGGCCACGATCCCTAGTGACTTACGCTGGGTTCGCGCCTCCAGGGCCAGGATCCCTCGTCAATTACCCTGCGTCCACGCTCCCAAGGCCAGGATCCTTTGCAAATTACACGGCATCTGCGCTCCACGGGCCACGATCCTTCGTAAATAACGGTCCGACCGCACTCCCAGAACCACCTGGGCATCCTGGAGCGCCCAAGCCGCTGCAAAAAAAGCGCTTCGCCCGAGACATCCTCAGAGATTCGGCACGCAGGGTGCGCCATCCTCGAGCGGGCACGCAAAAAGCCAACCTTGCAAAAACACAGTTTCGCCCGAGACATCCTCAGAGATTCGGCACGCAGGGTGCGCCATCATCGAGCGGGCACGCAAAAAGCCAACCTTCCTTCTACAAAACAAGCGCGGGACCCGAGACATCCATTCCTGCGCGCGGAATGCGCCATCCTCGAGCGGGCACGCAAAAAGTCAACTGTTTCACCTTTTTCGTGTCCCAGTCGAGTCTCCATACCTCGTTATGTAAAATGGATTCTGCGCAAAACGCTCCGCACCTTCTCATTTACGAAGGAAAGCGTGGGTCCGCGGACCCCCTATTGGGCGAGGATCCGAGATGGGGCGCACTTTCCTCGAGCGGGCACGCGCGAAACGCA